GTCTGAGGAGAGATTCTCCCAGTCCACTTCGCCAGATTCCATCTTGTCCGTGTGCTCGTCCTGGGCTTCGTCCTCCTCTTCGTTGCGCTGATCCACTTCCCACTGGCCCCACTCAATCTCCCAGGCAGAGCTTGAGGTGCGCTCCTCGTACCAGTCCCGGTGTTTCAGGGGCCTTTGGCTCCCTGCCCCAGCTTTTTCTACTGGGCTCCTCGGCAGGTCTCCCATTCTGGGAGTCAGATGGATCTTCATCCGTGTGGATGCGGAAGTGCTGTGGGCCCCTTTGACTTGACGAGGAGGCTGGCTCCCTATCATTTTGCCTTCTCCGGGCCTGCACATCCTTCCAGCTCTCCAGCAGTCCGGCGGCGCCTGCCATCGGCGCGAAAGCGCGACCTGGGCTGCTGCTGCGCCCTTGCCTTTGGCTCCCCTTCACGGTGTAGTGGCTCTTCACTTGGCTTGGGCATCGTGCCTTCTGCGCACACATGGTTAGGCTCTGGCTGCCTTGCATTATGGCGGCACTGACGGCATTCCGCACTAACATGACGTGTGGCGCAGGCAGAACAACATGCAGCACTGCGTGAGTTCATGCAGACATGCGCTGGTGCTCCTTGCAGTAGGACTGGTCGAGATGTTCGGAGGTCTGCACTCGTGTTGACTGCGCGCCTGAGAGATGGCGCGGGGGGGGCACTCTTAGAATCAGAGTAGGTTATCTGCGGATCTATGTTGGATGGTTTGCGGGGGCGCTTTCTCTGCGAGCACGGGGGTAACAGGTTCTGCTGAACACCTGTTGAGACCGGACACCTTTTCCTGGGGCCTTGGGGCTCCCAATAGGGCAGTGGCACAATATGCGGGTTTTGCCTGTCAGCAACATGTCTGCAATCCTGCTCAAGTATAGGGATATACAAGCTGTGTTTAGCAATAACCCTTTTATATTGTGGTTCCAGTCTAGAAGTCAGGCTGAGGCCGTGGCACTGGGAGATGTCCGCATCTGGGCGCAGCTACCCTCAATCCATGCGATCAAGCAGACCAAGCTCAGATTCGGCCACCTCCGTAGATGTAGCTTCGTTATGCTCTCCGCGCTCCTGCACGCGCCCTTTTGCTTTGCGTCTTCTTTTGGGAGGCAACGGCGTGCTTGCTTTGGTGGTCCTTGGTGGTGTCTCGTACCCTTGTTCGGTTCGGTCCGAGTGAGCAGTTGCGATGGTGTAGAGCGGGGTGTATGTGGAAGGGGCCGGTATGCCACGGGCAACCCTGGATAGGTGCTCCTCCCTTCTATCCCTCTCCCTTTCAGAACACCATTCTGCAAGTTGTTCAACGCATCTTTGCCTCTCTGCCTCGGTTGCCCGGGCAAGGTGATTGCGGATCGTCTCTCCGACGCGGGCAACAACATCCTCGCTACTGACTTGAGGTCTTGTTTCCTCAGTCGGTTTAGCGGACATGACGGTGTATGCCAAGCACAGGGCACTGTAGACATGGGCTGGAGCCAGATATGCAAGCAAGCATGTTCAGCACTGTTATGCAGGTAGGGGTCAAGCTGGCATCCCTGTGGCACAAAAGTAACAAGCAGCGGCTGCAGCTGAAGCACAAGGACATGTGTGTGCTGCCATGGAAGCAGTCTACATAGGCAACCACATATCCTCCAAATCCTTCTCATGAAGAAACTGACTCCAGGCGCCTTGTTCATTGTGCCACAGGTTTTTGTATATGACATACGGATAGCTCTCCGTGCCTGCTGCCTCCTGAAGTTCTTGCTTAAGCTGTATGCAGCGCATGCGTCTCTCAACCACTCTGCATGTTTTCTGCGCATACCTTTCCAGGAATTCCGCATACATTTCCAGCAAGCTGTCAGTGCTGACATGCTGTTGTGTCTGGCTTGTTCCGGCTGTTCCGGTGTTCTGTGTTTCTGCGCTCCTTTTCGCGTGTGCTTTCGCGAACACGTGGTGGTGTAGCATGGTATGCATATCCGACAGGGCAGTGTCGGGAAGCACTTTTCTGAATAACGACAGATGCTGGTACATGTCCGCTTCCCCCAGCTTTGTATCCAGGACGGTCCTGGCCTCACAGCAGGCCGCTGGGTCACGAACCTCGTTGGTTTTGAGGTAGATCCACAAGCCCAGTTCACGGACCTCTGTAGTGCCGACCCCATGCAGGCCAAGCTGTAACGCGAGATCCTCCAGGTTGTTTTGGGCCGTTGCTGCTGCCACCAGGGGATGGCAAGGCCATCTACCCTCCCGAACACAGTGCTTGGTTTCACGCTTTCGACCTTGCTGCATGCTGTCTGTGTCATTGCTGGCATTGCTACGCTTACAATTTGTCCCTTTTCGCATGTTGCTATCAGCAGAGCTATGTGAAGGCAACATCTCCACATCCATTGCATCGATCTAGGTGCAGCCCAGCTAGGGAGCAGATTTTGAACCGTGGTGCTTACTACTACTACTACTACTACTACTACTACTACCACTACCACTATCACTACCACTACCACTACCACTACCACTACCACTACCACTACCAGTACCACTACCACTACTACTACTACTACTACTACTACCACCTGAGCAGCAGCAGCAGCAGCAGCAGCAACAATACCAACAACAAGGTCACGACAACAACGAAGGCTGCAGCTACCACCACCAGCGTGAGCGCCACCGCCGCCGCTGCCACAGTCGCCACCACTGCCAGCGCCACCGCCGCCACCACCACTGCTGCCACCACCGAAAGGGGAACCGTAACCATCACAGTGAAATCACAGCAACGCTAGTTCTATTCCCTGAGAAGAAACTTCATGATCATAACGCTTCTCTAAGGGACACTCCAGGCTTGTTGACCTTTTCATCCACCATGGCTCAGCTCAAGGAGAAGCAGAAGTTGGCTTTAACGTTTGAGGAGGACCTTCTGCCAAATGCGGTGGTTGGGACGGAGATTCCGTTGCACAAGGCATGTCCTGGCTCTGGATATCAATGAGATGCTCCAATTTGCTCAGCATCTCTCTAACCTATGACAAATCTGTGAGTCGGAGCAGAACCAGCGCAAAACCACACCGGGTTTCATGGGCAACGGGATTGCGGAGGGCTTGAAGCTAATGTGAGAAGTAGGATGGCTTCTACTGAGACTGCAAGGGGTTCTAAGCCCTCAGCAATCTGCAGGATAAAAAGAACCCAGCTTTCACTCTTAATGTCTATGCGTCCAAATGCTTCTGAAGATTGAGGCTGCCTTATCCCCAGACATGTACCTGGGAAACTGGGATCAAGGGCACTCTTGGGTAGTATGAAACCAGTATGAGCCGTCACGGTGTGTGCTACCCTGCAATGTATGGCATCACATCATGGAACATGGGACTGCAAACTCAGACACTACCTGCATGGACATGAAAGCAAACCCCAGCCGCCCTGACAACAAAAATGTCAGATCCCTTCAAGCGAGCCTCCCGCATATCCTCATTCTGCTTTGTCTGCAGAGACAGAGAGGAGGGCAAATCCAAGTGAAACCTCAGAGAGCCGAGTCTCATTCCAACAGATAGAAGGCTGAAGATGTATCGACCACACACAGATTACTGGCTAATAGAGAGAATGCTTCAGTCATGGTCTCTCCCCCCGCCACCATCCCCAGAGAAAAAGGAACTAGTAAATATGACTGCTGGGGAACTGCACTGTCGGAAGCACAGGAACCACGATTCTGCGCCAAGCAGCAATTTTGTGGCAGCCTCGCGAAAGACGTGTTCCAGGAAGCCACCAGACCTCCGGCAAAAGATTGAAAGGGAAGTTCTGAAGATAATAAAAGCGGTCCCCTGGCAAAACAATCCTCTTGGCATCAGGGAATAGTCTCTTGAAGCTCTTGCCTCCTGCAGAGTGCCAAAACGGCCAGTCAGTCTAATCCTTCGTGGCCTAAACTTTAGGCTCAAACCACACAAAACAGCCTGTCTCCAACATTGGCGCCACACATGCCCAGAGGAAACACCCAAACAGAGGGAACTGGGAGTTTGGGTCCGCCCGTTAGTCCTAACAACAAAGACTAAGAATAGAATGAAGATAGTGCTACATCATAATGGCGGCCATGGGAACAGCAGCACACTCATTCTCCAACTCGAGCACTGAGCAACTGCCCTTTGTGGTCAGCTAACATCTGGCAACATTTTACAAACAGCCACGGCGTAGCGGTGCAGCATTAAATAGTCTTAGGATCCCCTTCTGCTGGTCCTTTTAAGGGGTCTCGGTCAGCAGGCGTTTGTTTTGAGGTCCGGGCCCTGCGTTGCCGCGCACAGCGCAGATCAAGGGCGATGGTCGGGCCTTGGGTGAAGGTTCATTCGTCCTCTCACTCTCACATGATGCCCTTCTCCAGAGTCCTACTCTAAATGATCCCAATGTTCTGCCTGGAAACGGATATGTGCCGTGGGCTGCAGCTATGCAAATTTGCTCTTTCCGATTCTCGGTACACAGCTGTGGGCCGTCCCCGTGCAAACCAATTAAAGAGCTGCTTCTAGTCCGCTGAGTTTTCGCTGGGAGTAGGTTCAATGAGTAAGCTGATGCTGTACGATCAGTGGTCTTTTGAGAGAACTGCGACAGCTAAGCAGAGAAAGAAAACATGGATGGCCCGCGTTTGTCGTGCTGATCTTATTCAAATGATGGATCAACAGCTTGATAAAGTGCCATTCCGAACGGAACTCTCAACATCATTCACAAACTGAGTATCTAGCTAAATCTTGCCAAGTTGATGGAAGTGGGACTGTTGGAAACATGGCACCATGGCTAATGCAGACCCTGAGTGAATATTTGAAGCCTGGTTCCTAAAGTCTTTGTGATGTTGCCTGCCAAGCAGCCTCCAGGCTACCGAGAAAAACATCCGTCAGAACCTCAGAAGAGGTATGCAGCTCCTCTGGAGACGACATGATGACTGCGAGGCAGGGCTCCGCGTTGAAGTGACTGGAACCCCCTGTATCCAAATGCTCCGAGCAAGTTCAAGGCTGTGCCTTGAACGAGCCAACATGTCTATGCCACTGAAATGCACACGCCAAAACACCAGAGAACGTGCCAAAGTCTGAGTCCTGGATGAAGGGGTGCTTGTAGCAAGAATTTGCTATTTAGACGCCTACAAGAGACAGCGTCGGCAGATTTAGGAGACATAAGTACAGCAATTTGAAACTTTCAACAAACAACACCGGCGCCCCTGATCACAGTTGAATAGCTAGGCTTTGCGATCCTGAGACGGTACTTCCCATTTACAGGAAAGGAATAGGCTCACAAGCGTGCGCTCGAAATGCGAAGGCCTGCCTCGGACAACCAAGGGCGACCCCTCAGGTTCGGAAACCCCAATGCCAATGACTGTTTACGTTTCGATCTCAAGTATTTGGCGCGCACCTCGCTGCTCAAAGGGCAAGGAGGAATCTTCGACAGCTCCGTCTTCTGCACAGGGGACGAGAACCCTTCAAGCTTCTTGGGTTCAAGGCCTGGGAACCTAGGGCAATTTAGGCTTCAAGCATAGCCTGGCCCAGACCTTTGCAGCAGTGAGCTACGGGACTTCGCAGTCGGTTGCTGGGAGGTGCAGCAAGAAGGTTCGGAAATTCACGGCTTCGTGATGCAAGGAGGTGCGGGAGCATTAAGTCTAGCGGATCAAACCACCCCTCCTGCACAAGGTTCGACATGCTAATTGAAGATCAGTATTGTTGAAACTAGAACAACACTGGAAAACTGCGAGCTTCTACATCTAAAAGATTTGGCATGCAAATGTCTCGGGACTCCTGTTAAGCAAGAATTGGAAGCAGATATTTGGAAAGTGGCTCTGTGGCTGCAAGGGTTACACATGGATTCAGAGTACATACGCGAGTAGGTTTCGGGGTCAGGGTTTGGGATTCAGGGATGCATCAACCACCACCGAAGGACCTGCAGTTGGGTACAACCGCTTAGGGTTTAAGGTGCAGAGTTTAGGGTTCGGGGCGGTGCCTGGTGTGTAGACCAGGCAGGGTCGGTTCTCTTGCAGGGCCTCTGAAATTCTTTCTGAAATCGGCCATGAGCCCCGAAGCCCTATCAAATTAAAGGACCGGAGAACCCCACATGTGTAGTTTAACTTGAATCTAAGTGAGACAGTACTAGGATGCCGTCGCCCGCAGAAACACAAAGACGCGAGTAAAGAGAAAATAAGAAGGCGAAACGATTATCCGGAACGGTGCGAATTGCATGTTGCGCGAATGTGAAGCTTGACATCAAACATTCTGACCCCTCAATGGGCCCAAGATAAACATCGAACACTCTGACCACTCGAAGGGCCCACGCTTAACATCAAACATTCTGACCCTTCGAGGGGCCCAGGACCAACATCAAACGTTCTGACCCCTCAAGGAGCCCACGCTTTACATAAGACATTCTGACCCCTCGAGGGCCGAGGCTTAACATGAAACATTCTCACTCCTCGAAGGGCCCACGCTGAACATCAATCTGACCCCTCCGGGGGCCCAAGATAAAGATTGAACATTCTGACCCCTCGAGGGGCCCAGGCTTGACATCAAAAATTCTGACCCCTCGAAGGGCTCAAGATTAACATCAAACATTCTTCAAAATTTCAAGATGCTCCGCACAGGAGCGCGATTTTCGATGAAAGTCGACGATGTTTTGAGGATGCTCTGCAAAGGAGCGCGATCTTATTCAAAATTTTGAGGATGCTCCGCACGGGAGCACGATTTTTGATGAGAATCAACGAAATTTTGAAGATGCTCCGCACGGGCGCGCAATTTTCATTAACATTTTCAGGACGCTCCGCACGGGAGCGCGATTTTGAACGAAAGAACCATGAAATTTTGAGGATGCTCCGCACGGGAGCGCGATTTTCTTCAAATTTTTCCCGTGCTCCGCACGGGAGCGCGATTTTCTTCAAAATGTTCAGGATGCTCCGCACGGGAGTGCGATTTTGAACGACGGCGGCGCGAATCCTTTACCAAAGCTATACCGGAGCGCTCCGCTCAAGACCGCCGTTTTGAGCCAAGAAAACCACCTCGAACGAAGTACACCAGGACTCATTTATTGTACAATTGATATAGAAGTACTCGACATCATCGTTCACAAATTATCAAAATTTCCGAATGCTCCGCACGGGAGCGTCATTTTCATTGAAATTGATGATGAAGATAAATCGGCGAAATTTCGAGGATGCTCCACACCGGGAGCATATTTTTTGAAGACATACAGATGATAACAAAAAAAAAAGAAAACGCCAAAGTCTCGAGCGGGAGCGCAATTTTTGAGTAAGCAAAATCTAGAATTTGGAGGATGTCCCGCGCAGGAGCGCAATTTTGCTCAATCGGGGCGCGACTCCTTCGGTTACGGACTTCTCTAGCAAGACTACTTTAAAGGCAGAGTCACCTAGTTTTTTAAACCGAAAGTCAACATAAAACAACGAAGCTTTGAGGATGCTCCGAGCGAGAGCGCGATGTTGAAGCGATTTAAGGACTCCAATCCTTCAAAACTGGAACCTCCTGCTCATTTCTCGCTTATCCAGAAATCATATGTCTTGTGAGGTTCGTTGGGAGCCTCGCACGCATGGACGCCGCAGGAGCCGCAGCAGCCGTCGCCTGCATTGCGCAGCAGCGACAACCTGAGCTTTCAGAAAGCGGCTCCAGTTGTGAACAGCTATACCATAATATACTATAATATACTATAACATACTGTAACATTTAAAATAGCACTAAAATAATTGGGAAGCCGGCTGCTGAAAATCCCCTTGACCGAATGCCGGAAAGGGCCCTGTTGGATCGAAGTCGCGCATTCCCACAACTCAAATGGTACGCCTGGAGCCCAGGTACATTACCCCAGTCCTAAACCTCCAAGCCTTGTCCGCAAGCGCCTATGCCTTTCAT